GTCATTAAATGATGAGTTTATTTAATAAATTCAACAAATTAATATCAGAATGGTAACTAATAGTTTAATTGATCACATACCAACAAATAGTTTTATCATAAGTAACAAATTTTTGATATTCATATCAAACATTTTTCTTAGTGTAGACGGCATTCCGGAAAGACGAGAACAGATCGCGGCATGAGTGTACGTGACTTTCTTCGTTTATGTGTTACTGTGCAGTTCATAGTTTGTTTCTGATACAGATTAAAGACAAAAGCACACAATTTTGCTGTCCATCGTGCGTGTTTTGTAGTAACCAATGTATACGATACATATAAAATTGTGTTGTGAATTGTGAGTCGTATCGTAATGGATGAAGTAACAATAGATTTATTGAAGTCGTGGGATTTCAATAATCTCATCGATCATTTTAAAGATACATTTTTTTGTTATTACTGTATGTTATATTTCTTAAGACCAGTTTCACAAACGCCGGTTAATTTAATCAGCTATTATTGCATTGGAATTGATCAATCTTATTTGTACGTTCTGCTTAACGAGACAGATGCGATTGGTCAATTGAATAACCGATTAAGCCGATTAAGTTAACCGGTGTTTGTTAAACTAGTCCTTAATAATATATATAATATACGAGTTCTTAGAAAATTGCACGCAATGCATTTATATTTTCGATAAAATAGATAATATGTGTTAAATATCTTCAATTGTGTATATATACTGTTACGTCCGGGAGACTTCACTTCTTCTCTTTCGGAAAAAGATAACGGCTGCTAATCCGAACGCCTCGAACAATCTAGAAAGACTCTAAATAAATACACAAAAATTCCTCTCGAGACACGTCTCACTATCAAAAAATAATTCTTGCGATAGACAACTTTGTCGGCACCGAAAAATTTATAACATACCAATAAAAATAAAAAATATTAACAACATCAAATTCTTAACGGATAAGAAACGCGGCGGATTGGAAACTAAGGAAAACGCCAATCAAGAAGAAACGATTAGCGGCCGTTGGCAGGCATATCAATGAATGATTGAGGGTGTGAAATGGCGGGTGAAATTTTCACTAACTAATTCCATCATTCGCTAGAAAATCCAGAAACATAAAAACAATCACAATTCACAGAACACCGCTCCCCTCCTTCTTCTACTCGCAATTTTTCTAAACTATCATTCGACAAGCCAACGCAGAAATCCATCACGCCCTCAGATATTTCCGCCCTTGCGGAACCCTTTAACCGCGACTTGGAACGGATCTCTCTCTTCTCTCTTCTCATCGCTCCACCGCTCTCTTCTATCGCCTTGACGGACGGGACTATCCGAGGTTGTCGCTAAAATTTTTTTTTTCTCAGTTAGAATCTGTGCGCGATACTTTCATTTTCGTGTGATTCGATCCATAATCCAGCCTAGGCACCACACCTCTCGTCCATCACCCGTCAGCGCCCGACACAACAAAAGTAGTCCATTTTTACACTCTTCCCGCGGTAGACTGGCTGTTTGGTTCGCGACATCTATTCTTATCTTGACATAATTGTTTCCTTAAAACACTTCAACATTCCAAATTGACAAGTCACCGATTAACTCAGTGAAGCTGCCTTCCCCAATTTCTCCACATTCCGACTTAGCAAGCCGCCGATTGATTCGGTGAAGCTGCCTCCTCCGATTCCTTCAACATTCCAACCTGGCAAGTCGCCGATTGATTCGGTGAAGCTGCCTTATCACGATTCCTCAATTCTTTTACCACTCTCACCTCACTCTCTCTCTCTCTC